AAAATGCTTTAGTGACACTCTTTTCCATGGGTTTCTTCGGTTGGGCGGTGTTTTGGGAGGTGTCGACAACAAAGCGGCTTACACTTTGTTTACAATGTTGCCTGGCTATTTTACAGATATTTCTCCGCGTGCCCCTTCTCCTCCGAGTGTCTCTTCGTCAATATTGATCCATAAATAACAGATCCCCCGGACCTGTTAACTCCAGGCCTAGGCCCAGGCCCAGGCCCAAAAAGCCAAGAGACAAGACGCAACGTTAGACGTTCGGCTGGAATGGTGGAGAAGATCTGGCGAGCGGTCACGTCTCAAGTGAAAATGGTTTTTAAGTGGGCAATGTCTAGTGAAAATTAAACTGTCCCCTGGGCACGTCAACGCCATCATCACAACTAAGACCAAGCCAAAAAAAAGGTAAAAAAAAAACACAAAGAAAGAAACCCAGCTAAGCCAGCGGACAACTTCTTTAGCCCTTTTGGTTCAGGGATCAGGAGATGCCGCTAAAACAAAAGCAGCAAGATCTTAAAAATACCCTGAATATATCTTAAGCTTATAAAATGTCAATCTAATTATTAACAGCCTATGATTTTTAAATTATAAAAATTAACAACACCATAAATCTTTTCTTAAAAGCCAAAAAGTCTATAATAAGGTGATTGTATTGTTGCGAGTTTTGACAGTTGAATAAACAGAGTTATTTTTAAAGGTGAACTAACCAAAACATGTGGGGGTGTGTTAACAAAGAAATTTGGTTTCAGTAAAAGACTTACAGGGTATCATCAGATCTTAAGTCTAAACGATAAAAAAAAACGAAAGATGCGAACCGAAAACCAAAAGTGTCAACTCTAATTGCCTTTAGCCTGGCTGGGGCACCTCAAGCAGTGGGTCTCTCTGGACCTCTGGACCAGGCCCGTTTCATTCCCTCGATCTTGGCCAAAAAGAGAGAGAATGCAGATGCCGCCCCCACCTCCACCTCCACCTCCTCCTCCGTCCCTCTCCAAAATGTCGGGCTCCTTTGGTCAACTCCGCTCGTCAAATATTTGAGGTTGACTTTGGCTTGCGCTTGCGCAAATACTAATAAAATTTCGGTTAATTTTTTTAACCCGACACGGACGCACACCATCCGTCCGTCCGTCAGTCGGTCAGTCCGTCAGACTGGCCCTCTGTCCCTCATACATATATTTTTATTTATTTGCTGTTGCTGTTGTCGCGCACTTGACTGTAATGGATTTGTTGGCATGAAGATATTTCTTTATTATTATTATTCGGTTTTTTTTTTTTTGTCGTATGTATATTGTGTTTAGCTGTCGCTTACTTAAAACCATTTGGAGGAGGAACTTTCCTTGTTTCAACCAACAATCAGCCAGCAAACAGCAGGGGGGATTACATAAATTAGGCACTTGCCGAGATCCAAAAATTAAGTGCAGTTCATATTTGAGATACGCGACGATTTATGGCCGCCATTAGTTCAACGGGGGTGGTGAGGCACGTTTTTATTTTCAACTTTGTTTTTTTTTTTTTTGGATTTGAAAATCTTAAAAATCCAGCAAATGGAGCTCGTAAACAAACATTACAATTAAGTTTTATGCGACAGACATTTGTGCTTATAAACTCGTCGAAAATATTGACCAGCCAGCCAGCCATCTAGCGAGGCACAAGAGTTGCAAATTTTCTTGGAAAACTGGCCAACTGGCTGAGAGGCAACAGGTTTTCGGTTTATGAGTTGGCCTAATCAAAAGAGTGCGACAACAATCAAAGAGATCGTGCACAAACGGTTTACATTTCTTGTGAGTCACAAGTAATCGGTTGACTTTATGCAACAATTCGTAAATTTCCTAGACCAATCCACCTAGCCATGAGCCAAGCCACCCACCACCCACTGACCACTCTTGCTTATCGCCGGCCTCCTTATCACCGCCCATCACCACCCACCCAAGTGGGTGTCCGGCGGAATAGAATTATTTTTTTGAGGCGAGTATTTTATGAATTGCGACTCGAGCAGTGACGTAAATCGAAGGACAGATAGGCCCACCACCACCCCAGAACCGAAACCAGAACCACAACCAGATCAAGCGGCTATATAGGCGAGGTGGGGTGCTATATAGTATATATATGTATGGTTTCCCGCCGATAACAGCGACGACCATGTGCGGTGGGTGGCCGTACAATCGCACAATCTCCGCGCACGATTTTAACTTTGTTTTCGTTTATATTTTCTATTTCCACTTTGCTCTGCATCGGCATCGGAATCGGCATTCGGTCGGGCATTTATTTATATATACTTTTAATGCTCATTCAATCCGTAATCAGCGATCTATGTAGTCCAATGACGTTAATTGAAACTACTCGAGATTAAAAGTTGTTTTCAAGTACGTGCTGCCTCGGTGGCCCCACCAAAAAAATAAAATCCAATAACAACTAAAACAAAAAACTCACTTCATTGAGAAGTGCGTTTAGTTGCCAAAAAAAATAGTATATTATAAATAAATAAATATATGAAATAATATAGCCTTGGCTGGTGGGAAAGAAGTTATCTAAGGCAAACCTCAGACTGCCCAGCGTTAAACTTAAAGACTGGGAATATATTTTAACCGCAGAAAAAAATATGATTTAGTACTTGGGAATATTTTTATATTCCAGATAAGAATGTGCATTTTTTGGGTGAGCTTAAATTTTAAGTTCAAACTAAACTAGTTTTCCTTAAAAAAAATTTTGGCTTAAACCACAATTCATTGGAATCCACCGCTAATTGAAGGGGTGTGATCGATCTGTCTGCTCTTCCATTGCTTTGATTTTGATCCGATCCGATCCGATCGGATCCCTCCCTCAGATCTCGGAAGGCTCTAATGAAAAACAAAACGTTTATCAAATGCATGATAACAACGCATGTCCAGGGCCGAGAAATCTGGGGGCCCTATTGGTGTATCCACCTGAGAAATCTGAGATGTTGGCCCGGAGAGGTGTTAAACTCTTGGCAACCGCGGCATCTGACATGGCAGACATGTCTTTGTTTTATTATTTAACGCATTCCAATTAACATCTCCAATGATCTGTCTGATTGTGTGCCCGTCTCTCTTAACGCACACGTGATGATTGAATTTTAATTTTAACTTGGCAACTCCTCCTCCTATGGCTTGGAATCGGGTTCGGGCCAAAAGCTTTAACCCTTTGGAGACTCTGGCATTGTTTTCTGAACCGGGCACGACTAATCCAAATCAAATGGCTTCTCCAAATCAATTCGTTTTCAATCGTTTAAAGTTAATTAACGCGCCAGAATTTTATTTCACTTTACACATGCCCCCTTTCTCCTCCCACTCCCCGGCACCTCATTTGTTCTGTTACAGGCTTTTGTTTTTTTGTAAATTTATTTTATTTTTGTAACTTTTTGTATTGTGTGTGCATTTTTTGTTTTATTTTTTATTTTTTTTTTTCGCTGAACGTCTCAATTTCAATGCGCGCTCTTTTGTTGTTCTGGCCGGGGTGTTGGGTCTGGTCCGTATTAAAATTGTTAATTTAAGGCTGTGTCAGAAATAAATTAACCAATGAACCTGGCCACTGGGATCGGGACCCCGAAAGCCATTTAAAAAAAAAAAAACACCTCGAGGGGGAGGTAGAAATAGAAGCAGTGTGGGTTGTGTGTGGAAAATGCAAATTTTTGTGTGCAGTCCATTGTCGTGCGGGTGCGAGACTGAAAAACCTCGGACCTCGGAACTCGGACCTCGTCAAAGCCCAGAAAAAATAAAATAAAATACCACTGCCCGCCCCCATCGATGGGGTGGTTGGGGCGATGCGGTGGTGCGGTGGTACGGCGGTGGTCAGGCTGCTTTATATGCCAAAAGCAGTGGGACAGCACTCGGCGGCAGACGTCGCCGTTCGTCATATAAGGCGCGGTGCGTATAAAGCCAAGAGGAGACAGCTCAGATCTCTGTCTCTGAGCTGGAGAAACAGAGAAAAAATCACTCGCAGACTCGCGCGACATATTGAGAAATGTGCAATAGCCTAATGCCCATTTAAGGCATCACTTTTCATGGCAAGTTGCATTTATCGCCGATCGAATCGGAATCGGAATCGGTTTAGAGCGATCGATCAAACGTTCGAGACTAGGCTGGCAGTTGAAAAACAAAGCTCACATTTTTGGTTTTTTCACCAAAAAAAAAAATAGATAAATAAAAGAAGACTAAACTTATGCTAATTGTTAAGTACAGTGTCAAGTCCTGGCAATATCCTAGAGTTGAAGAAACAAAACGATGGCACCACACACCGGACCTAGATCTTCTTCGCCTTCATGCCTTTAAATGGTATAAATTACCAATGAATGACATACGATTTAATTGCCTCGACTAAGCAACTTGCAACTAGCTGTTGCGGCTGCTGCATACAGATCGAGTTGCTGGAATTAATTAATATTGCACTTTTAAAGCGCGTGCATACAAATTTGTCAACTAGCCGGCCAGTTCTTCAGCTCAGGTGTAGACAATTGGCATAGTTCACATAGAGGCTCTCTTGGCCAGGTCCTGCTTTTGGCCAGGATGGTGCAATTAAAATTCTCTGGCTGCAAATCGACTGAAAATGGAACTCAAACTGGGGCTAAGGGTCCGAGATCTATCTCTGGCTTTTGTGTGCGTCAATTTGCCACACGATCTGGAGAGATCGTCGATGTCAAGTCGATTGACGTCAAACTCTACTTTTGATAGAGAATCGAATCGGGAATGGGAATGGGATGGAATGATGCGTCCTCCTCCGGAGGGGGCCTGGTACTGATATGAACTCATCGGTCCATCATTCATGGCTGTGCAATCGATTGCACACCATTATAAACGAATATATACATAAGTATATATTATTCCAGATCTGATATTACGCTGAGCTGGGTAGTTCTGTAACCGGAGTCCCCGCACTTTGACACATTTTGAGAAAGCTGAGCCAGCTTTTGGGCTTCGGCTTCGGCGTGTGACTAACTGACTTGATTGGGCCGTCGGCAAATTGAGCGATCTCCGTAGCTAACTCACCTTATTCTTATTTGTTATATTTTTTTTCTTCTTTTTTTTTTTGCTTTTTTTTGTAAGCTGATTTATCCAAGCATTATCCAATTTTCGGGGCTTGCCTCGGGGCAATATTTGCTGGCGCACATTTAACAAATATTTTACGCTGTGTTTCTGTGTAAACTCTAATTGCTAATATCAAAATATCACACTTTATTTTTTTTTTATTATTATTTATTATGCTGCGTTTGCGTGTTTGGGGTTTGTGTTTTGTGTTTTGGGCAAGCTTCGGCTATAATTGATATAAATACGTTTCATTTGCGGCTCTAACTGCTGCTGCTATTGCTTAATTTTGTTGTAAGACACTTCAATGGCAAGCTGCAACAATACACAATATATTATTTATTCACTTGAAAATTTTTTATCATTTCTGTTGATGTTGTTGTTGTTGTTGATTAACTTTTATTTGGCAAGTTTGGATTATATTTTGTTAAATTTTTTATGATTTGTGTAGGGTTTTAATGTAAACTAACTGTAAGTGACGCGTAACCACTTCGTGTTGCTGTTGCACGCGCGATCATTGCTGGTGTTGCTGTTGCTGCGGCTTTTGGTGCTGCAGTTGCAATCGTTTCTCGTATCGCGGTCTCGTCGCGTCAACGTGCGAATAACAAATAACGAAAACGTACGAAAAATTTTCACTGCAAGAGGTTTTCCCGACGTTGCGTCGTCGTCGGCGGCGACGTTGGCTGCGCGCCCCGTTCGGCAGCGCTTCGGGGCAGCACCACCAACACACACACACACCGCTCGAGAGGCACCACCGGGAACCACCAACCACCAACACTCTCTTCCGAGAGAGAGCTGGACAAAAGGGGCGACAAGGCAGTGAAGAAGGCCAAGAAGCTGCACACGCACAATTTGAGGCTGCGTGCTGCTGCGAAGAATTCTTCGGGCCGCAAGAAAGACGCGTCTTCGGGAAGAAACAGAGCAACGGAGCAACGGAGATTTGTGTGTGGAGCAGAGCGTGCGGAACGTTTTGAACCTGAACCGACACTGAAGAAACTGACTTCTAGAATCGCAGCAACAGCAACAGCTACGCCAGCAACACCAAGACACTGGCAACCCGAGCAACATGCGACACCAACACCAACGCAGGCGGGCGGTTAACTTTGATGGTGTGAGTGGCGATTGTTGGCCTCTCATTCGCCGGATAAACTTCGGGAGAATTGTGGGGGAAAGAGCCCCAGAGACAGACAGAGAACGAGGGAGACAGAGAAAGAGCAGCACGTGCAGAGTGGCATAAAAAGCTGATTGTCGATTTTTTTTTCTTCTATTTTTCCTCTCATTGTCAGCTGATGTTGTTGCTGGTGGTGGTGGTGTTGCAGCTGTGGGAGCTGCTGCTCCCACTCTCCTCCTCCTCCAGTTGTTTATGGCTGCGTGGGTTTCTAATTGCTCAAACTCTATACCAATGGGGGCCCTCGGCTGCATTTGGCGCTTTTGGGTTGCTGGCTGCTCCGAATAGGCGCCTCCCACTTCACGACCACCGACAGCCACTGGGCATTATATAATCGCCACGCGAACGGAACGAAGATAATCCAGGGCAATCGAATCGCCAAAAAAAAATCGTGAATCTTTTGCCAAAATAATCAGAAGTGCAGGGTGGAAGTAGTTTACTGATACGGTTATGGGTCTATTGGGCAGCTATTTATGTAGTTTGGAGAATGTGTGGAAAGTCTTGGGATTTGGTCCTAAACTAAGCTTACAATTGAGGCGTTAAGTTATTAAATACGTAGGTTTCTGGGTATTGCTAAAAGTATCCAATCAATAAGCCAAAATTAAACTACCTTTTCATGCCTATTTATAGTACCAATTAACGCAATATTTGAATATCTGAGTCTTTAGCTTTTATCTTCTACACTTTCCTAATTACTTTCTTATTTTATTAGATTTTTATTAATAGGTTTTTAAGGTCTTTTAAATCTAGACCCATATATGACTCTGTTATTAGCCTGAAATTCTGCGAACTGTATGGTAGGTTTTTACTCTCTACTACTCCTTCTACTACCTAAAATAAGTAGTATAGGGAATATAATAATTTTATATAGTTGAATACCTTAGCAAAACTCCAAATTTTGGACCCAAAACCTTAAACAAACTATCTTCAAGATAGTTTCTACCTTAAAAGCTTTTAGACCTTGATAATTTCCAATAACTGATAAGTATTTCTTCAATATTCGCTCTATCTACAATGATGAAACCAACCTAAGACATCAATAAATCTTATAACAACTATTAGAAATAAATATTTACCAAGTTCCATTAAATAAAATCTTAAAGATACTTTCTTTTAGAAACTTAAATATAAATATTTATCAACAACCCCAAAATAGTATCTTAAAGATATGGTTTTAAGCCAACAAATTGCATTATAAGGCTCAATCCCAACTAACTGACTATAAGCCGCACTCCGGATAAAAAACCGAGCGGATAAAACCGAAAGGTGTTCTCTCACCTACACGCACACACAGACAGGCTGCCTTCGGGCCACTCTCTTCCTCTCTGGACTCTCTCGTGAGAAATGCCGGCAAAACAACTTGAAGCCTTATGAACTTGAAATGCCGATACAGCCGAGAGCAGATACTCTTTCTCTCTCACGGCTGAGATTGCGAGGCAGCTGCCGACGCTCTCGAGTATCTGTGTGTGTGTGGGTCGGCGTCCAGGTGTGCTTGTATCTGTGTGTGTGTGTTTACAAAACAAAACCGAGCCGAGCCGCGCCGAGCTGAACTGAACTGAGCTGAGAAAAAAAAAGCATGCCAAGCAGCAGCAGCAGAAGCAGCGACAGCAGCCACGGCAGCAGCAGCAACAATACAATTTGTGAATGAACGAATAGTAGCATTCACACTCGCGCACACAGATACTCACACACTCACGCCCCGGAAGCGAGAGTGTGTGTGTGCGATTGTGGGCAGGGAAAATAAACGAGACGCGAAACGCGTTTACGCGATTCGTACAAAATTTGTGGGTCCAAAGCCGCCGAATGTAGGTGTTCGTTCGGCTACAAGCTATATATGCAGATGTATCCGTATCTGCAACTTGGCATGCCTCTGTATGTGTGTTTGTCGCTACAGTATCTGTGTGTGGGAGAAGCAACAACAATGAGTTATTGAAATGAGACGGCGACAAACGAAACGAAACCAAAATGGTGTAGGCCAAATGACAGCGATCTCCGATCACCGATCCATACTATCGATTGACATCCAAAGGTGTCTCCCAAGTGGGTCTGCCAGCGGGGGAATGAGGTAGATGGGGTTCCAGCACCCAACACAATCCCACAGATTAACATCGCTGATTTGTTGATGAAGTCGTTTGCCGAGCTGGCGACACTTTTCAGCTGCCTACCGTCTACTGATTGTAAAGTATCTGAGGTATCTGAGGGACAACAGGGCGTATGAGTTTTAAAGACAAGGTCACTGAAAGAGGGATATTACTTCTATCTCTCAGGATATTTTCCAGAAAATAACTGAAAAATTTCTTTCAATACAAATCTTTAAAAATCTTTGCTGAAAAGTATCTCATATTCGACCATCTCACCACAATAATTACTAAATTATTTTTTTTTATTTTTTGTCGTAGAGTGCGTGTGCTAAGTACATTTCAGTGTCGCTGATGCCTACGCCCATTAAATCAGAATACAAATTAATTTAAAATCTAAGAAATAAAAAACCCCCACAGCACTTATAGTAATCAAGGTTCTCGCCTCGGATGTGTTGTGATTTCAATGCGTTTTGCAATGCAGCTGCAAGGGAATTTCGCCAGGAGATGCCTTTGCTTTTGTCCTGAAAATCTTCCCACGGTTCGGCCCAGTCGACAACGTCGTCATTTCGTCGTTATTTTTGTCGTTGCCGTGATCCTCGCCCTCTCAGGCGTCTTATTGTTATCCTCCCGGCCACCCCATCAAAAAATAGAAGTACTGCCGCCGCCACCACCACCACCGACCGGCACCACCAACCCACCCGATTGCAACCCACCACCACCATCCGAGATGGCAGATCCCGTTGTGCAACCCCCGTAACTTTTTGGCGGGAAATCTCCGGCGATCGTCTTCGGGCACAAAAGGCAGCGGCGGCCCAGTCAAGATCTTGAAGAGATTTTGTGGCCTGCGGCAGCAGCAACATTGTAGGATTCCACCCAACCCACCCCTCCGGCGGCAGCTTTCTTTAGACTCCCGCTGCTCCTTTTTGCTTCTTAGCTGGCCCTCAACCCCTCCCACTGACCCTCCCTCGTTGTTAGGAACTCGATGGGAGGCCCTTTATTGAGAAAAATCGTAAATATATATTATACTTCCCTTTTAAAAAGAAAACCCTCTTAAATTAATGGATTTTTTTTATACAAAAATGGAAGTTGAAAAATGTAATTTTCTCCAGGAAACCCTTTTTCAATAAAAATTAATTGAAACAAATATTTTTGGAAGTCTTAGGAAGTGTCAAGGGACACATCCATAATTTATTATAATTTTTCTCAAGAAATTGATTTTTTTTATAAACTTTCCAAAAATCTCAACACTATTTTTTCTGTGCAATGCGTTTTTAGATTTTTTACTTCTTTCCATTCATTAGAAGCGCCGAAACACAATTTTCAATTAAGCACGCAAAAACGCCAACATCGCGAGCACAACCTAGCCAGCAATGCCATCCGCAATTTGCATTTGCAACTTGCAACTTGCAACCTGCAACTCGCAACTGGCAACGGCTGTGGCGACAGCTGGGGCAATAACCATAAAAGCGAATGACATCCCAGCACCTTGAGGTGACGCCAACGGCAGGAGATCAGAGGAGATCTGTCCGGATCTGCTCCTGCTCCGTGGCCCATTCTGCTCGGGGTCAGGCGGCGCTGTCGCCTCTTATATGCCAATTAAAAAATCTAATTTGCATGCGAATGCTTGGTTTCATGCCGTACAGATTCCCACGGATAAGCGGAGTAAAGAAACTATGTATACTTTTTTTTTTGATTTTTCGAAAAACCAGGTGATGCTTATGATTTAAACCAAACAGCTGTAGAGATTTTTATCAGAAAAATCAGTAAAAAAAACGGAACAATACAGTTAGTTGGAGATAGTTTTTAATTAAATAAAAATAATTAATCTAGGACACTTTAGAAAATATTAAAAAGAGTATGCTTATGGTTTTATTCCCCCAAACTACTGAAATAATATTTCTGGTACATGTTTTTTAGGGAATTCCCCTTCTAAATCTTTGAATTTTAAAGCTCTCTGGGAAACTTTCTTTGTCTCACCTGGTGTGATTGATGATCCTAACTGATGAAGGCAAAGTAAACCCAATCCAACGATTATCAATTCAATGGATGATTTACTATTTATACTGTCTTCATTAATCCTCAGGAATCCGAATATATCAAATCAAAATCGTTTCAGTATCAGATTTTCTCCAGCTTCCGCAGAAGCCTTTGTTTAATTTATTTTTTGGCTTTAGCTTCTCGGATATCTATCATAACCTGTCTAGTCTGTTTGGCTTCTTCCAGCAATTAAGCCTTTCTTGCTGCTCATTTTTCTAAATATTCTTTTTTTTTTTGGCACAACTGTGAGATGTTATCACAGCACTTTGCACTTCCTCCAACACACACGACTTTGAGATACTATTGTTGTGGTTGTTTTGGCTGATGTTTCTTCTTTTTTTTTATATTTTTTTGGCTACCAACATGAGCTTAAATCACGCGCACGCCCCGAAATCTCGGCCAAGATCTCGCTTGGAAGACAAATTTCAAATGATTTACCTACAGCGACGCGATGAGTTAACCTTACCTCTTTGGAATGAGCTGTCTGTGGCGGGGAAGGGAATCATCTTGCGGGTGCGACTCCATTTCATTCATAAACAGGAAAAAAGAAAAAAAAAAGAAAAACAATTTTGTCTTAATGAAAATCTCTGGAAGCGGCAGTGGGAAGTGGGAAGGTCGCCCGGGACATGGATTCGTCTTAAAAAGTCTTTAAAACAAAGTTTAATGACACGGCCCGAGGGGCGTGGACAG